GCCGCCTAGTTTCCCGGCATAGCTTACACCACGTAGGTTGTGCCGACTAGCATGTCCCTCCATAGCTCGCACCACCCAGCTTAGATGGCATAGCTTTTCCCGCATAGCGTACACCGTATGTTTGTCCGCTTCCATAGCTGACACTACACCGCTCACGCGGCATCTTTAGTTTACACCGCATGGGTGTCGCGTCCATCGCTCGCATTACATATCTTACGCGGCATCGATTTCACCACATCGCTTACACCGTATAGTGTTCACCTCCACGGGGCAATAATGCAGTGGTTGGGTCCACGCTGGCTAACGTATGTCTTGGTACGCACAGCATCAATTCAAACTGTGCTTGCTGGAATATGTTCAGCGGTTCTCATAGATTCCCTTCGCCACGATCTGACTTTGGATTGTATTACACCCAAACCGGGCAACCACAGTCTGCTCACGTATTCCCTTGAACGTTTTGCCCGTCGCCGTTAACACCCGTTGATTGTGACACCCATGCTTGAGGGATTTGATGTCGCGAGTGTTGCATCGTGCCTCCCTCTTTCGCTTCAAACCGATTCGCGGACACACTTTCTCGACGAGGCACAATCGTTCGACAAGGATGCCTTGCCTTCGTTTGGAGAAATCGCCTGAGTAGTTGAGGCCTTTGATGACCTGAGGCGGTGCAGACTATGTGCGCAATAGCCAATAGTGAAATGTTATCGAGGCCCCGTGGGGCGCCGCGTTCAATGCAGATGTGTAGCCAATTGCATCACGAGAGGTAGTGGTCGCGGCCGTTTGCGGTGTCCTAGCAGGTTGTTGTGACTTGATTGCCCCGTGCCAGGTGTCCCGACGCATGGGCAGGCGGTGACCACTATCATTGAATGGTCAGTGTGCTGGCATTTTCCTCCCTTGGGGGCAGGACAGGTTCTTTCACTTGCTGCCCGTCGGCAAGACCAACATCGAAGGAAGGGGGAACGCACAGGGGACGAGAGGACGAGAAGTGCAGCTGCATGTGACGAGCGCTGAACTTTCAAACTGACAGTGTTGATGTTGCATTCCTCCGTAATCTGGTCCTTCCATATACAAACAATTGGTGACGTTGCGCATCCAGTCGTTCGTCTGTGGTGATGACGTGCAGGGCGGAGATAACCTGGTTGCAGGTTTCGGCTTGTTAGTTGCCTAGACACTCCTCTCGTCGCAGTGCGGAGGTGCTGCTTCGTAGTTGCGGTGCGGTAGTCAAGCCTTCCACGGCCACAGTTCTTGACGCTTCTGCTTGCGAATGTGGAGCATGTTGCTCAGTGCACGTGCACCGCACGCTGCGTGTGCAATTAGCTTTGTACCGCCGTCCCGGACATCGCATGTCGCCGCCAGACCGTTGTCGCGCGGCCGCCGACCAAAAAAGTATCCCCGCCATCTTCTGCGCGCGCTAGGTTAACTAGGTTTGCTCGCAGCCCGAGCTGACTTGTGACGCTGCTGGCGCCTTCGCCTGCGGCTGCGACGGAAAAAAATATATCCCCGCCAGCCGATCCAGAAACGATGCCCAGGCGAGCCCCCTTGATAAGGGAAGTGCAGAAGCAAGCAGCGAAAGCAAGCAGTGCAGAAGCAAGCAGCAAGCATCATCAAGGAGTCCAGTACCGTTCCTCTCTTTCAAAGCGGACTGCAAGATTTTCTCCGGCACAGCGCCAGAAGTGAAAACCCAGAGTGGGCAAGTCTATGCAGCCCGCGTGGCTCTTCGCACAGGCACCCTCTGAGAAAGTATGCCTCGTGAGTGGCCACCAGGGGTGTTGGCATCACTGAGACAGCCGTCAAACTGAAGTTTTTAATCAGCCTGAGCGGACCCTGGAGTCCACCATGCCTTCGGGGATCTGTCGGCATGCGAGCCTCTTGGCAGGTATCTCGGGTTATTGGTGCCATCTTGGGAGACGTTTGGGGCCGTTGTGGAACCTTTCGGGGCCCTCTTGGGGCCATCTTGGATGACATCAAGCAGATACGAAGGTCCCCAATTACCGTCGCCCCTCGCGAGCCCGAAGAATTGCTTCTCGAGCCCCCTTTGGGATGCTCTTGGAGCCGTCGTGGAGCCCTCGTGGGGCTCTCTTGGGCCATCCTCGAGCCACCTCGAGGCCTCGGATGCCCATCGGACGCGAAACGGCGAGAGGGCAACAGCACGTGCTTGCGTATGGTCTTAGAACTGCAAGGATGGCCCACGAGAGGGCCCAGGAGGAGCCCACGACGGCTCCAGAGGCCCCCCGAGGCGGCCCCAGGACGGGGCCTGGGGGGGCCCCAGATTTCTCCAGGCTGTTGGATAGCTGGAAAGCCAGCACGGCCCAGCTCAGCCCTGCAGCTGCCCTCGAAGAATCGAAAATCAGTAAGGGCTTCGTCCTCTGGCGCCAGTCCCCCCTATTATCACAGTAGGAGGTGTCGGAGCTGGGCTGGAACGCGTCGGCGCCGTCGGCAACAATCGGGAGCATGACGCGAGGGCGATTGACATCCCGCCAGAACCTCAAAATGTTGCTCCCCCTCCTCCTCCTCCTCGTGCCTCCCCCTCCTCGTGCCTCCTCCTCTTCCTCCTGCTCCTCCTCCTCCTCCTCCTCCTCCTCCTCCTCCTCATCATCCTCATCCTCATCCTCATCCTCCTCCTCCTCCTCCTCGTGCCTCCTCCTCTTCCTCCTCCACTTCTCCTCTTCCTCGAGTTCTTGTTGGAAGCTCCGGTTCCTCCTCAGGGCGCGAGTCTGGCGTCATTTACGAGGAGCTCTGGCAGCGGAGGCGCGCGGACGTGGCGAAGGTGCAAAGAATTCTTAGCTTCGGGGGCGCGAATCTAATAGGGCTCATTTCGATTCTGGCTTCGCGAGCGCGACTCTGTCGGAGTTTGAAACGAATATATCCTCGGAAGCGCGGCCCTGGCGCAGATTGCTGAGGGTTCTGGCCTCGGGGGCGCAGATCAAGCGTCATTCTTTTGAGAGGAAGTGGCCGCGGGGGCGCGAATCCCGCGTAATGTACGAGCGATGCTGGAGTCGGGAGCGCGACTAGGGTGCAATTTGCTTAGGACCTGGCCCTGGGGGCGCGAATCCCACGTGCGTTTGCATGTCCCAGGGCCCCACTGGAAATTCTGAGAACTCGGAGGGGCCTTGGTGGCCAGGGTGGCGTTCGGCCCCCCCCCCTCGAGCGCCCAGAAATAGTTCTGCAGTAAGAGACAGGGAGCAGAACTAGATCGCCGGAAATGGAAACTGAAAGCTGCATTGGAACTGCGACTGGGACCGAGTAGCTCACCACTGGCACCCGTTGCTGAAGCCCGGCCCTCGCAGCCTGGTGGCCGCGCGAGAGGGCCGGCAGATCAGTCAATACACGCATGTTGGCTCCACTGGTTTGGGATTTCTTGCTCTCCGAGACTGGCGTGTGCGTGCGCCGCGCTACACACTGCCTCCGAAAGTGAAGACGACGCGAGGCGGCCTCCAATATTCGGGGGCGGAAAAGAGGGGGATGATGACCAGGGGGGGGGGATATCACGGCGGGGGTCATGATATTTCCCCAGATTTCATGGCGCCTCCTCTTATTTCATTACGCCCCTGTTCCCCCCGCTGGGCCGCGCACATGCCGCCGGTCATGATTTGCACCCCCCCCTCTTGGACCCCCCCATCTTGGCCGCTCCCGAAATACGGGATCGAAGAGGAGAGGCGACGGCCGACGTGGCCTCTCGGAGGGCCTCCGTGTCGGGCGCCCGAGAGAGGCCTCCAGACACCGCAAAGCAGGCGGGGACGGGCTCGCGGGTGGCCACGGAGCCCCTCCAGACGTGCCACCGATAGGGTTAGGTCGGGCCTGTCCCCCATACAGGGGGATGTTCGACGAAAAATGAAAGATACCCCAAGAATGCTCCAAAAAGGTCAAAACATATTTTAAAAAAGTAGTCCCCTAACTATGTTTGGATTATGTTTTGATTAGTATCGGGGTATTCTTTATTTTTCGTCGAAAATCCCCCTGTATGGGGGGCACGCCCGACTTAACGATAGGGCAGAAAAGCACTGAAAAACAAATGGTGTGTCAATGAGCGTGGCCTCAGTCGTTCTGTCACTCCCGCTGGGGCCATGCTGTCTCCGGACGGCTTCAAGACGGCCCAGGAGAGGAGCCAGGAGGGGCTGCATGCGGCCCCTGGGGCTCCCAGGAGGCCCCCCAAGACGGCACAGGGGGGTTCCAGGAGAGGACGAGACCCGCTCAATGTGCGAACAGGCCCACAAGGGCAAACGTCCCCTGCGTTCCTTCGGCCCCAAAGCGGCGGAGAGCGCGCTTCTCTTTTCCATTTTCCTCTGCCGTCTCACTGGGCATTGCGAGCGACAGAGGCGTTGTTGGCCCGATGGCATTGGCTGCGCGACGCGATCCGGCAAAGTATGATGCCCGCGATGTTGTCGCAGGGGACGACGGTCACCAATCCGGATTAAATTCGATACCAGCACGGGTAAACATGATAATTTTAGACGGCACGTGCCCTCCTGTTGGCACCTTACGGTTTGAACCGCGTGTCTTGCGCACCGGTGGTGCAAGAACTCATTGTTTGGTGTCCACGCGCTGGCATCAGTTGACCATCGACCATCGGGCCCACATCTCACCCCGTCTTCCGGCATTGTGTTTCTCACTGGCTCCTCCGAGTCGTCAGGTTTGCCCCCGTGCACCCGGCTCCCTCAGCACCCAGCCTCTCGCGCCGGCACAGTTCCGAGAAGGTGGGCAGGCTTTCCACAACTCGCGGGGCCCGGGGAGGAGGAGAAGGAGGAGGAGGAGGAGGAGGCGGAGGGGCCGTTACCTCTTCGGGTCTTTGCCGGAGGAGGAGGAGGAGGAGGAGGAGGAGGAGGAGGAGGAGGAGAAGGAGGGGGAGGAGGAGGAGGAGGAGGAGGAGGAGAAGGAGGAGGAGGAGGAGGAGGAGGCGGAGGGGCAGGTCGGTGATTGGTGTTGCCGTTCCCTCTTCGGGTCTCTTTTCCTCGACACCCGCTCCTCGAAGCGCCGCCTCCGCACACGACGTGCTGTCTCCCGAGCCGTGTTCGCTCAAGCCTGGCGGCGCAGCGGCGGCGGCGGCAGCCTTCCCGGGCAGTGCCAAAGGGGGGTCGCCCTTAAGAGGGGTCACCACCTCTTCCAGAAGGTCGTGATTAGGAGGAGGGAAGATCGAGGATCGAAAGGTTCGAAGGACGAAAAAAAACTCTCCTGAGCACTGCGGGAGGAAGACATGGGGGGGTACGTCTCGCCCCCCACCCCCCACCCCAACATCACAGGGGGGTCCCCCATCTCCAGAGTGAAAATCTAGGGAAATGGAGGGTCTCGACACCCACCCACCCCTACAGCAGGGTTGGGGGTTCGAGCCCCCCCCCCCATGGCGCCGGCAAACGGCCATGGCGACGGCGAGGACGACAACAATGACGACGACGACGAGGACGACGACGACGACGACGACGACGACGACGACGACGACGACGACGACGACGACGACGACGACGACGACGAGTCCCGCCCGCCCGCCCGACCGACTCGCCCACGACGACGCGCCCAGCCCGCCGTCCGACCGACCGAGCTGATGGACAACGACGGCGGCGGCGGCGATGGAGGAGGAGGAGGAGGAGGAGGAGGAGGAGGAGGAGGTGGAGGAGGGGGAGGAGGAGGAGGACTAGGAGGACGGGGGTTCGAACCCCCCACCTCCCGAGTTTTGGAAGGGGCGGAGGGGTCGGGGGAGCTTCTCGCTGGGGAGGGGGGAGTGGTCCTGGTTCTGGAGAGAGAGGACCCCGAATTTCCGAGGGAGGGGTGGGGGGGGCGGCTCCAGAGCGGGGGAAGTTCGGGTTTTGTGCCAGTGAGGCGCGCACGGAAAACGCTCCCTCAAAGCTTTTGGTGGATGTTTGTGGTCCTGTTGGATGGTTCGAAAGGGGCGGCTGGCTCGGGACCTGAGGCGTCCCTCTTCCCCTGTCAAGTGGGAAAAAAACCTCCCCGACCCCGATAATTGGCGTTTACTAAACGGCCCTGGGCGTTTACTAAACCCTGCCTTGCTCGATTCCTTCTTTGGGTGCGTTTGCTAAACGCCTTTGCTGATCGGGGTGCTTATTATGAGGGTGGTTGGCCTGCTCCCTATCCTGGGAAGCGGTGTGGGGAGGACCCCCAGGACCCCCGCCCCCCCCGCATGACGTCCAACCAAAACCTTCCGAGCATCGATCCCCCCTCCTCCTCGATCCTCGGGAGGGGGTGGCCGCCCCTCCTGGTGGTGACCCCCCCTTGGCACGGCAAGGCATCCGACGATATGGTTTGTCCAGTCCGCAGCCCCAGAGGTCCCGAACCCTCCCCTTGGAGTGGGCTGAGATGAACACAGAGGCCGCCGGTCCTCTATGGCGAAGATTGGCTCGACGGGCTCCAGGCCCACCAGACGACCTCCGGAAACCCACGGCACATTCCCCTCGCAGCAGTTCGCGAGGTGATCGGCTCTCTGATCCCCTCTTTCCTCTCTTGATTCCCTGGGAGTAACGCTTCGTCCCAGATCAATGCTTGATGGCCCCGGGGCCCGAAGGCGCCTCCGAATGGTTCGGCGGAGGCTGAGTCCATACGGAGTACTTCCCCATACGGAGTGCTCTAGCTCCGTCTGGCCTCCCTCCGTCTTGGTTTAGCCTCTCCCGAGAGGCCACATCGAGGCCGCCCGGACTGGAGAAAGCACTCGCTCGGACGTCTGGGGGCCCGACGTCTGGATAGGGGGCCACATGCGAACCCTACCCCATACCCCCCACGATTTCTGAGGGGCAGGGTGGGGTTCACTTCGCTCGGGAGAGCTCCCGAGCGAAGTGAACCCCACCCTCCCCCTCAGAAATCGTGGGGGGTAGGGGGTAGGGCTCGCATGTGGCCCCCGACCTGGAGGAGATTTCAAGCTTCCTCCGCTGGGCGGTCGCCCTCCGAGCCCCCCCCCCGCGTCGCGCGGGCCGGCGCTCCGCCGCGCCGTGCCCTCGAGCGCCGCCCTCGAGCCGCTCGCGAGCGCGCCGCCGCCGGCTCCGGCAGGGCGGGTCAGCTCGGGGAGGCCCTCGGGGAGAACCGGCACTTCTACAGTCGTCACCGTTCTCTGGCGCACTACATCTGCAAGACCATGGCCCCACGCCTATTGCACCACCCCCTTGCAGCTGGACCCCCTCCTGGGCCAACCGAAGAGCTTCTCGGGAAGTCGGGGCCGGAGCCGAGGCCAGGAGGCCACGGCCAGAGCACCGGGGCGCCGGGATGGAGGCGCCGCAACCCAGGCTGCAGGAGCGGGGGCGAGCCGGCCCCCAAGAGGGCGCGGAGGGGCCGCAGTCCGTCGAGTAGACGCAAGAGTGGCCTTTCGCTGGAGTGACCTTTGGTGCGAGCATAGATTCGGGGGTGGACAGACCTCCTACCCTGACACGTCGATTAGCGAATTGGCCGCTTTCGGTTCGCGAGAGGGCGCCGCGGCCGTCATTTTTGCGGGTCCAGGTCCGTCGGTTTCGGTCCCAGGCTGTTTTCATTAAGGGGAGGTTTACTAAAGGGAGGTTTGTCCACGGACGAGATGGGCACGAACGAGCGAGATGGGTACGGAAAGAATGGGTACGATGCGCAACAGCAGGTCTTGTTCATGTCGAACAGGACTCGCTGCCGGTGTCGCCGCGGCCTGTGTCCATTCGAGACAGGAGGCCGCCTGCCCAACAGCGGCCGCTGTTGGTCTGGGACAACATTTGTTGTTGGGCATTGTGCCCATTCTTTCCGTACCCAATTCGGGCGTCCAAACCCAGGGAGAATCGACACTTCTACAGTCGTCACCGAGCGTGTTCCACTACTCGCAAAATGCCGACTCGCAAGCGTCCAAGAACAAACGTCTTCCTCGATGGAATGTATCGTACATCCCCCGCGGCGGACCCCGACCATTTGTGAGTAGTCACTTTGCGAATAGGGGAACGCGCTTGTCCAAGTCGGACCGAGGTGTAAGGTCGAGGTCGGCTCGGGGAGGGTACCCTGATGCTCTTCGTGTCTGCTGGATGTTTTTGTGCATCCTTGGGAGGGTACCCTTGAATGCTCTGTGTGTGTGTGCGTGTTTGGCCCGCAGAGGGCATCATGCTCTTCAAGGATGGTATTATGTCATAGGTCCGGCCGTATACTTAGGTCGGGCGTGTCCCCCTACAGGGGGATTTCCGACGAAAAATAGAAAATACCCCAAAAATACCCCCAAAAATATCAAAACAGATTCAAAAAATAGTGCCCAGACTAGTTTTGGATTATTTTTGGGGTATCTTTTATTGTCCGTCAAAAATCCCCCTGTAGGGGGACAGGCCCGACTTAACCGTATACCTCCCAGATGGGGTCGGAGCAGATGGGCTCGGAGGATCGTTCCGCATCGCTGATGCAGCGGAGAGGCGGCTCGCTGTGGAGCCTGACGTTTTTTCAAGGCCGGCGGCGCCGAGGCACCGCCGACGTGGCCGATGCATCGTCGAGACATCGTCGATGCATCGGTGGTGCATCGGCAATGTGACGCGATCTTCCGACGCCATCTGCTCGGACTCCATTTGGCGGCGCACAGGGGCGCAGAGGTTGCTTCTCAGGAGGCGCGGTCCTTGTCTTGAGATCTGTGGCCGGCGCCTTCCAAGAAGCAGTCTCCATCCTAGTAGCCCTCCCCCCTCGAACTGCGCCCTGCTGCGCGCCGCCAAGTGCAACACGATCCTCCGACCCCATCCACTCGGACTCCATGTGGGAGGCCTCCAGAACTTCTCTGCCCTGCTGCGCCCGCGCCGAAGCTCAACACGTACCTTGCTAAAAGCGTCCGTGATAACACGTTGCGTGTTGGCTCGACACGTGTTGGCCCACGTTTCGACGAACGCATCGCGGCCGACCTACAGTCGATCATCCGATTCAGAAACCTCCGAAATTTGGCCCGGCCGTTTTGAACCAATGTGCCCGAAACCTCGTCCCGTTTCTTGAGCTCGGTCGCCCCTCCAGCGCTCACAACAGGAATTGGCCCAGGCTCGTGCCAAGAGATGTCCGGGAGGCTGGCCCAGGTGTCTTGAATGAGAAGTGTCCTGGTCGTGGTTTCGGCTGCACGCCTTCCGTCTACGTGCTGAGCCCCATGCCGACACGCTACGTGCTGCGTGCTTCGCATCGGGGACGGCCAAGCTTCAGGAGGGAAAGAAACACACAGACACAATGAATCGTCGATCCCCAGAAAATGCGGGACAAGATGGGAAGTGGGGGGGAAGACGAAAACCCATATATATATATATATATATATAGGAAAATATGGAGGTATTTTTGTGTGTGTATTTATCTGTGTGTCCCAGGGCCCCTTCCAAGCTGCAGACCTGCGCGGGGGCGGCGGGGGGGGGGTCCGCCCGCAGGCCCCTCCGCGCACCCTCAGGTTCGTTGCTGCTGGTCGCTCCCGGCCGCCTTGGCGCCCTTCCCGGGGCCCAGGGCCAGTACGGCAGATCAGAGCCCCGAACCATCAGGGGCAACTCGGGTCAGGGATAACTCGGGTTCGTTTCTCGGGAATCCAGACCCGACTTACCCCGGACCCGAGTTACCCCGGCTAACTCGGGCGTCCAGAGCTCCGAATCATCAAGGGTAACTCGGGTCAGGGCTAATTCGGGTTCCTTCTTCGGAAATCCAATCCCGAGTTACCCCGGACCCGAGTTACCCCGGATAACTCGGGCGCCCAAGCCGAGCCCATGATGAAGAAACATTGTCTCCCGAAAGCGTTGGCAATGCGTGTCTTGGCCAGCTCGCTGCAAAGCCGGCCCAGTTCCTGAAGCACGTTATGCCCCCCCGCGTGAACGACGGACGTGTGCCCAGGCTTGTTTCCGGAAGCTTCCGTACACTACCAGCCTCGAACGTATCCCTATCCCTAAGATTGACACGCCAAAAGGCGATGACAATCTAGGGATTCGCCCTCAAAAATAAGGGAATCCCTAAGATGGGCATCGTGATGAGGAGGTGCCCAGCATAGGGATAGGGATATGTTCCAGGCTGGTAACATGATTCAGAAACCTTGTCTCCCGAAAGTGTTGGCAATGCGTGTCTTGGCCAGCTCGCTGCAAAGCCGGCCCAGTTCCTGAAGCACGTTTGCCTCTCCCGCGTGAACGACGGGCATGTGCCCAGGCTTGTTTCCAGAAGCTTCCGTACATGACCAGCCTCGAACGTATCCTTATCCCTAAGATTGACACGCCAAAAGGCGATGACAATCTAAGGGATTCGCCCTCAAAAATAAGGGAATCCCTAAGATGGGCATCGTGATGAGGAGGTGCCCAGCATAGGGATAGGGATATGTTCCAGGCTGGTAACATGATTCAGAAACCTTGTCTCCCCAAAGTGTTGGCAATGCGTGTCTTGGCCAGCTCGCTGCAAAGCCGGCCCAGTTCCTGAAGCACGTTTGCCCCTCCCGCGTGAACGACGGACATGTGCCCAGGCTTGTTTCCAGAAGCTTCCGTACACTAGCAGCCTCGAACGTATCCCTATCCCCAATATTGAAACGCCAAAAGGCGATGACAATCTAAGGGATTCGCCCTCAAAAATAAGGGAATCCCTAAGATGGGCCTCGTGATGAGGAGGTGCCCAGCATAGGGATAGGGATATGTTCCAGGCTGGTAACATGATTAAGAAACATTGTCTCCCGAAAGTGTTGGCAATGCGTGTCTTGGCCAGCTCGCTGCAAAGCCGGCCCAGTTCCTGAAGCACGTTTGCCCCTCCCGCGTGAACGACGGGCATGTGCCCAGGCTTGTTTCCAGAAGCTTCCGTACATTACCAGCCTCGAACGTATCCCTATCCCTAAGATTGACACGCCAAAAGGCGATGACAATCTAAGGGATTCGCCCTCAAAAATAAGGGAATCCCTAAGATGGGCATCGTGATGAGGAGGTGCCCAGCATAGGGATAGGGATATGTTCCAGGCTGGTAACATGATTCAGACAAATTGTCTCCCGAAAGTGTTGGCAATGCGTGTCTTGGCCAGCTCGCTGCAAAGCCGGCCCAGTTCCTGAAGCACGTTTGCCCCTCCCGCGTGAACGACGGGCATGTGCCCAGGCTTGTTTCCAGAAGCTTCCGTACATTACCAGCCTCGAACGTATCCCTATCCCTAAGATTGACACGCCAAAAGGCGATGACAATCTAGGGATTCGCCCTCAAAAATAAGGGAATCCCTAAGATGGGCATCGTGATGAGGAGGTGCCCAGCGTAGGGATAGGGATATGTTCCAGGCTGGTAATCTTGATTCAGAAAAATTGTCTCCCGAAAGTGTTGGCAATGCGTGTCTTGGCCAGCTCGCTGCAAAGCCGGCCCAGTTCCTGAAGCACGTTTGCCCCTCCCGCGTGAACGACGGACATGTGCCCAGGCTTGTTTCCAGAAGCTTCCGTACACTACCAGCCTCGAACGTATCCCTATCCCTAAGATTGACACGCCAAAAGGCGATGACAATCTAAGGGATCCGCCCTCAAAAATAAGGGAATCCCTAAGATGGGCCTCGTGATGAGGAGGTGCCCAGCATAGGGATAGGGATATGTTCCAGGCTGGTAACATGATTCAGAAAAATTGTCTCCCGAAAGTGTTGGCAATGCGTGTCTTGGCCAGCTCGCTGCAAAGCCGGCCCAGTTCCTGAAGCACGTTTGCCCCTCCCGCGTGAACGACGGGCATGTGCCCAGGCTTGTTTCCAGAAGCTTCCGTACACTAGCAGCCTCGAACGTATCCCTATCCCTAAGATTGACACGCCAAAAGGCGATGACAATCTAGGGGATCCGCCCTCAAAAATATGGGAATCCCTAAGATGGGCATCATGATGAGGAGGTGCCCAGCATAGGGATAGGGATATGTTCCAGGCTGGTAACATGATTCAGACAAATTGTCTCCCGAAAGTGTTGGCAATGCGTGTCTTGGCCAGCTCGCTGCAAAGCCGGCCCAGTTCCTGAAGCACGTTTGCCCCTCCCGCGTGAACGACGGGCATGTGCCCAGGCTTGTTTCCAGAAGCTTCCGTACATTACCAGCCTCGAACGTATCCCGATCCCTAAGATTGACACGCCAAAAGGCGATGACAATCTAGGGGATTCGCCCTCAAAAAATAAAGGGAATCCCTAAGATTGGCATCGTGATGAGGAGGAACCCCCAGCATAGGGATACGGATATGGCCCAGGCGTGTCAGTACAGCTGGCCAAGGTGTTCGACTTTCACACGTGTGTTTGCACAGACTTCGGGCCGTAGTCGCCACGGGGGCACGGGTCCCGAGGCGTTTCGCCGTGCTCTGGCTCCTGGGGCCTTCCACGGGCCCCAGGATTTGGTGGTCTCCAAACCAGGTGGTGAGACACCCGGTGGTGACCCCGATTCCCCCAAAAAATAATTCTGGGTCACCACCGGGTTTGGGGACACGCGGTCGCCACGAGGTTTTGCGTTTCCGGGGCCAGCCAGCGCTCGAAAACCATCACCCAGATCGCCCAAAACTCACCACCGGGTGTTCTCACCACCACGTTTGGGGACCACCAAAGGATTGCCAGACAACGACGCAGGACGAGCACGTGGTCCTTGGTCGGAGGCCCAGGGCCCGACATCCGCACCACCATCGGCGGTGTGCCTCCACCGCGGGGAGAGGCTCCCAATCTCGGCAACGGTGGCAATACTCGAGCGCCTTGCGGCCCTCGCCGGGCCTCGTGAAGGCATGCCGGAAGCTATATGGAACCAGTTTCGGCCATCTTGAGCCGCATTGGAGGCCATCCTGGAGCATAGGAGGCCCCCATTAGAGTCATCTGGGGCGAGAGGACCCCCCTGCCACATCGCGACCCCCACCCAAAACAGAAAAAAAAAAAACTCAGGGAGGTGGGGGGGAGGGGTCCTCTCCCCGAAGGGGAGAGGTTTTTGTTGGAAGAGGGAAGAAAGATATCGCTGGACCACCGGAGCCCAAAAGGGCGAATGGGATTACAGGGACCTCCGAGAATCTCCTTCACGATGGTGGAAGAGTCCCCTCCCCCGTAGCGGGCCACAGTCCTGGATCCGAGTCTTTCCGCGTCGTGGCCCCTTTTTTTTTCCCCTCCCCGCCTTCCCCTAGTTCTCCTGCTCTTCCAGCCCCTGAAACCGCTCCTGCCGCTGCTGTTCCTCGTCATCCTCCTCTTCCTCCTTTCTCATCCTCGTCCTTCTGCTCATCCATCACCTCCTCCAGTGTACACAGATCCCGTTCCTCCTTGCCGATGGGGCCATCCCACTGGAGGCGAGGTCCACAATGATACCTGCCGGCTTATAGATAAGCACAGCGTTGTGGGAAGGGATGGGCGGGAGGAATATGGCGCGAGCGCATCCACTCTGTGTCCCTCCGCTCGCCTTACTCCCCCCCGCCAGGCCCCCGACGTTGTTGCTTTTGTGTCCGCAGTGCTGGCCCCCAGAGCTCTCTCCACCCCACCCGGGATCAGGCTGTGGTTGCGGGCCATTTTTTCGATAGTCCTGGGGCCAGGAGCGAGCAAGTCCAGAGGCCCCAACTTGTTGCCTCCTCCTCATCATCATCATCATCATCTTCCGCCTCCGCCTCCTCCTCCTCCGTCTCCTCCTCCTCCTGCCGTCGTGCTCCCCCCCTTCTTCCCTGCACCTCATTCTGCCTTCCAACGCCTTCCCCCCCAGCTGGAAGCCCCTGGAGACCCCCAGACCTCCTCCCCAACAAAAAGGGGACGAAGCACGCAAAAAGCCTCAGTCCTGCACCGTCGCCCCCTCCACCCCGCTCTGCCCTCCAGCCCTTCTCATTTCTTCTCTACAGTGGGGGCCCATGCCAAGAAACACCCTGCTTGCGTCCAGGGTGCCCTGGGTTTCTTCGGTGTCGATGGTTCGGCCATGGAAAGCGCGACGTTCCCACACCGAACATCGGTGGACGTCCTGGGGTCTCAGGGTTGGGTTTCTTGTGGAAGGTTTCTTGTGGACGGGCCTCCACTGTAGAGCGGGGTGCGTGAGTACTTCCTTGAGGTCCTCCCGCAGCTGGAGAGGCGCCGATGGCGATCCTCACCAAGCCGCGGCGGCCTCTTCTGCAGTGCGACTGCAAGGACGAGGGGCTGGAGGAGCAGGCCTGCCTTGACCAGATGGCGACTGGAAGGGGGAAGCTCGGAGGGCGCAGGGAGGCGTGAGAACAGAAACTTGGGACGTCCGCGGACGATTTCTCGGCCGACGCAAGACCCTTGGCATCGCTCGGACGTGTGCATGTTTCCTTCGGCGAGGACCATCGAGGAGCATCCTCGATCATTTTGCGAAGAAGCCACGCACGACACCGAAAAAAACGCCGGGAATGGACGTCCGAGCGATGGCCAGGGCCCCCTCACCTCCTCTTCCGGGCGGCGCCTGCGGCGCCTGCCCCCCGGAGGGAGGGGCGCGGAGCGGCCCGCGCCGGTGGAGAAGGCGTCTGCGCATGCCCCAGGTTGGTGACTTGGCCGCCTGAAGAAAATCAGAGCCCCGAATCATCAGGGGTAACTCGGGTCAGGGCTAACTCGGGTTCGTGTTTCGTGCTTCCGCACCCGAGTTACCCCGGGCCCGAGTTACCCCGGATAATGCGGGCGTCCAGAGCCCCAAATCATCAGGGGTAACTCGGGTCAGGGCTAACTCGGGTTCGCTTTTCGGGATTCCGAACCCGAGTTACCCCGGGCCCGAGTTACCCCGGATAGCTCGGGCGCCCAAAAAAAACAGAGTCGCTGTGCACGGCAACGATGGTTTTGCATATAATCGTCATCACCACCAGCACCAGCTCGAAGAAGGTACCCCCACGGGTGAAGAGCTCGACGCCGCCCGCGTCCGTCACCAGCCGTGTGGGACCGCACAGCATCGGTCGCGCGGGCGCCTGGCCGCGTCTTGGTCATTCAGAAGAGGAACAAGCTGCATAAGCATAAGCTGTTGGAGCGTCGCGCGGATTTCTTGGATCGGCGCTTAACCCCCCTCCCTGGCGCGCTCCGCGCGCCAGGGGCTACGCCAGAGGCGCCCCCATGGGGGGCCAACGCAGATCCAAGAAACCCGCGCGAGCCTCGGAGAGTTTATGCTTATGCTGTTGTTGATAATTCTTCTAGTGACTCCCTGGAGGACGAGAAGCAGAACAAGACTCTAGGTTTCCTGGATGGGGTCGAAGTGGATGGGTTCGGAGGATCGCGCAACACCGCCGATGCATCGGCCATGCGGCTCGACAGGGGGCCCGATGTTGTCCACGCCGACGTGGCCGACGCATCGCCGGCGTCGCCGGCGCATGGCCGAGGCATCGCCGATACGTCGCCGATGCATCGGCGATGCATCGCCGATGCATCGGCGATGCGGCGCGATCTTTCGACCCCATCTACTCCGACCCTAGCTAGGAGCAGGAGGAGGAGGAGGAGGAGCAGGAGGAGGAGCAGGAGGAGGAGCAGGAGGAGGAGGAGGAGGAGGAGGAGGAGGAGGAGGAGGAGGAGAGGAGTTGGAGGAGTAGGAGGAGGAGGAGGAGGCAGGAGGCAGGAGGCAGGAGGAGGAGGAGGAGGAGGAGGAGGAGGAGGAGGAGGAGTGCTCTCTCCCCCGTGTGGCTTCGAGTGCACGCCCCACGCCGCCCTACGGGGGCCGGCGCCCCCGTAGGGCGGCGGAGGCAGGGCAGCTCAGCTCTTCTGAGAGCTTCGCGTGTCCCCATCGGCCCGTCCAGCGATTGTCAGAGCCCCGAATCATCAGGGGTAACTCGGGTCAGGGGTAACTCGGGTTCGTTTTTCCGGGAATCCGAACCCGAGTTACCCCGGACCCGAGTTACCCCGGATGATTCGGGCGTCCAGAGCCCCGAATCATCAGGGGTAACTCGGGTCAGGGGTAACTCGGGTTCTTTTTTCGGGAATCCAAACCCGAGTTACCCCGGACCCGAGTTATCCCGGATAACTCGGGCGCCCAAAAAAATCAGCGGCGAGCGATGGGGGGGGGAAGTCAGAAGGAGGGGGCCTTCTCAGAAGGCGGCGGGACTCCTCAGAAGCCTTCGCGCCCTCTGAGAGGTTTCCTGTGTCTTCGGGGAAGGCGTAGAAAACTTCTCGGAAGGCTGGGGGACTTCTCAGAAGGCTGTCTCTTTCTAGGCATCCTAGATGGGGTCCGAGTAGATGGGGTCGGAGGATCGCGCCGCATCGCCGATGCATCGGCCATGCGGCTCGATGCGGGGCCTGATTTGATTCACGCCGACGTCGCCGATACACCGCCGACGTCGACGATGCAGCACCGGCGCATCACCGATGCATCGCCGATGCATCGCCGATGTATCCGCGATGCGGCGCGATCCTCCGACCCTATCTACTCCGACCCCATGTAGGAGGCCTCAACTGGTGTATCTCGAAGACGAACGCAAATGCATGAACGAAAATTGTTGCAGCTCCGCGCGGATTTCTTGGATCGGCGCTAAGCCCCCCTTGGCGGCGCCTCTGGCGCCCCCGCTGGCGCGCGCCCGCCAGGGGGGGGCTCGGCGCCGGGCCAAGAAGTGCGCGCGGAGCTCCGAAAAAGTATGGTTATGCAGTTTTTCTGTTTCAATAACCAAGACGCGGCCAGGCGGCCACACGACTGTTGCTGTGCGGTCCCACGCGGCCTGTGAGGGACACCGTCGGTGCTGAGCTATGCACCCATGGGCACAGTTTTCGAACTGTGCCTCGATCTGCGTGGTCTCACGCTCGGTGGCCGTGGCCGATGTGATCTGGTGTCGTCTGGAAGCGCTCGGTCTAGAGTCCGACGTGGTCGAGCACGTTGTCCTTATGTTCCGGTATTGCCTGTTGCTTCTTTTCTCTGGTGCGCGAATGTGCGGGCCCCAAGAACATACACCAACATCACCACATCCATTCCTCATTTCTCTTCTACCTTCCTCTTCCTCTCCACTTTCCTGGGGGAGAGAGGGGTTGAGGGAAGTGGTGGTGGTGGTGTATACCTTGGCCCCGTAGACCTGGTCGCGTCTGATTGCGGACGCCCGGGCGCGCAAAGTTGACGGCGTGGAGCGGTGTTGTCATTCACGCGAGTGAAGGAAGAACAACGAGATAGATTTCGCCGACACTCGCGCACAAGGTTCTTGTGTTAGGCCGCGTGGAAGCGCCCTCTTCTCCACGCGGTGGGCCACACTAGCGGCCCGCGTAAGCCGCGGCGTAAGGTCGCCTTGCCTTCTTACGTAAGACCCGTTTCTGTTCGTCGCCTACGTCCTTGTCGGTGTTGCAGTGCTGCTTGCGCATATGTGCTTCTGACTTGTCCCCTTGTTCCTCCGCGTCTGTCGTGCGGCTTCTTCAGGGCCTCTTCAGAGGCCTCGGGAGTGACCTCTTCGAAGCCTCTTCGAGGTTCCCGTGTGCTTCTTGATGCCCTCTGAGGGCTGCTTGGGGGCGGTGCTGGTCTTAGCATGCCCGTCTGCTTCTGGCCCCTTCTCCCCCGACCTTCCAGAGTGCCAAGACATAGCCCGCCAGACCCGTAAGCCCACCTTGGCTTCCTAAGGCCTCGACAGCACTTCAGATGCAAAGGTCCTGGTGCTACTTGTTAGCCCTCCGTAAGAACGGTTTTTTGAAGGCAGATCTGCCTTCAAAAAACCGTTCTTACAGAGTAGACCAGTCTTTCCTCCTTGAAGGTCAGGGTCCGTCTCCCCTCCTCGCTCTCGTGCTCTTCATCAGGCTCCGCTCCCCTGTCGCCGAAGGCTTCGCGGCTTCGCGCTCCCGCGCTCCCGCGCTCCCGCCTCCCACTCGGAGTGAGCTGGCTCGGTGGACGCCCCTGGGAAGCGCCGCCTCTCGGCAGCACGCGAGGCCTTCGAGCCGGCCTCGGATGCAGGGCGACAGCGCCTCGGACCCAGAGGCGGGCCAGGGCTAGTCGTGCCCACGAGCTGGCGTGTGGCCGCCGTCTTCTCTGATCTTGACTGGCAGGAGCTGGCGAGACAGCCACGCCAGAGCGAAGGTAGTGTGGCACCGGCATCGGGAGGCGATCTCTCGCCAGCCTCTGGAGGGCCTCCTCGACCACCCTGCGTTGAGAAAGCGCCTGCAGTCTTGGGGGCGTCTCGGGGATGTGCGCTTCTCTTGGGGGCTTCTGTGGGGCCTCGGAGTTGTTTGGAGGCTTCCTGGATGCCTCCTGACGTCTCAGAGGTATCGTCGGCCGTAGTGGAATTCGTCTAGGGTCTTTTTCAGGCCGTGTTCAGTGCCACGCGGTGGTTTCTTGTGCCGAAAGCATATTGATTCATCTTGAGGATCTCTCGAGATGTTTTTGTTGGGGGATCTTGGCTCTCTTTGGAGTTCCGTTGGCCGTCTTGAGAGTTTCTTGGAGGCCCGTCAGACAATCTTGTAGGCCTCTTGGGGGCTTTCTTGGCCGTCTAGGAGGCCTCTTGAACGCCTCTTGAGGTGTCCACGAGGTATCCTCGAGGCCTCTTGGAACTAGATTGAGTCGTCGCGAGAGGCCCTGGATGGCGTCTTGGGGGCATCCTGGGCCGCGTTGGGAGCCTGCGCAAAAGCACGGCGCGGGGTTGTGGAAGAGGCAGCTGGTCAATCGGAGGCTCTCCTGGGCCCCCCGCAAGTCCAAACAGCTTGTATTCCACGGTTTGGCGCATCGACGCTTGTGGCCCTACAGACGACAGCGAGAACATGTACGCCCAGAGCAGGGTCCATCTCGATGCGATCGTTCCGAGTCGAATGCGATCCTCCCACGAGCCGATGCGGCCCGACGCCTGCACGGCGTCGTGTCGTGCACCCTTGCGCGGCCGCTTCGGTTCGATTCGATTCCGGCTCCGTGCCGAGGCGGCCCGATGCGACGCATGTCCCGATCCGACCCGATGTACAGTGTAGACCCATGCGAAGAAACACCTTGCTCGCCTCCAGGGTGCCCTGGTTTCTTGGGTTTCGATGGTTTTGCTATGGAAGGCGTGACGCTCCCACGCCAAACATCAACGCACGCCCTGGAGTGTCTGGGTTGGGTTTCCTGTGGAAGGTTTCTTGTGGACTGGCTTCCACTGGTTCCTGCGGCGGCACTTTCTTGTGAGACGCAGCTTGCCCCACGCAGCAGCGCCTTGCGAAAGCATGAGTAGGTTGGAGCTCATGTGGGCAACATGGATGTAGAGCTTTTCATGCGTCATCGGAGCATTATTTCATATCTCCTAATGGAC